TTCGCGGCTGCCTCTGCGGTGGGAGGGCGCGATTCTGGGCCACGCCCGCCCCTCGGGTCTGCTTAGTGGTGTGGGTTTTTTTTCCTTTTTTCATTTGTCCAACGGCTATGCTGGGTCTGCTTAATTTAGCAAATATGACTAGGTTGTATACACTAGATTAGGTTTAGCTGCCTCTGTATTGGATAATATTTGCTGTAGAGTGAAGGATTGGTTGCAGTGGAAATAAATCATTTTATAGACCGATGCCAGCTCAAAAGGAGCAAAGCCATTTTGGAAATCTAGTTCTTAGCCAATCTCTGCGTTTGGGCACGACAGGGCTGTTAGTTAAGTAGATACAAAATGTAGGGCGAGGAGACACATTTGCACACACACTTGGCTTGGAAAATCTGAATAGATATTATTTGGGCTGCACCTCGGTCTTCCTCTCCTTCCAATCTGAAAAGTCCTAGAATAAGAAAAAGATTACTAGAGATGTGGTCAGTTACACCCCATGTTTCTACCGTTTGAGGGCATAACAGGAACGTAAATGGAGAGAACATGGAAGTAAGGATACCAGAGGGCAACAAATATAAGGGAAAGGCCAGTAGAGAACACAAAGGGATATCAAGTGTGATTTTTCAAAAAATGTATGGCCTAAACTGTCATTAAATAAAAATGTGTGGCACCGCACACGAGTTCCAAGGAGCCTTTGCTTGATTCATGGACATTCAATGTGGATTCATTTACGCTGCTTAACTACCATTGTCGGAAAAGGGAGAGCTTTTAACACATTTATGAGGTTGTTGAACTGTTTCTGTTTACTAAATAAAAGTGGTATAAAGGTTTAGGTTATTGCTTGCTTTTTATAAACCATTTTTTTTTCCTTAAGAGTTGTGAATGAAACCACTGAACTTGGCTAATTAAATTCAGAGAGAAAATTAATTCTTTTTCAGGGGGGAGGGTTTCACAAAGTTTTCTTTAATAATTCTTCGGGGGAAAGGGACACCACACTTCCACTCAATTAAGAGAAACATTTTTATCAACAGAGAAGTCTTTTTTATTTTTTTCCCACTTACGCCATGAATTCATAGGGAATGGGTTCCAGCAGCTCAGGCTCCTTTCCATTGGTTCTCACAAAGTGTGCTTCTCTGGGTGGAGCAGGCTAAGGCTTCAGTTGAACCCATATGCCTTTCTCTTTGGCTTCCTTCTTTTTCTGATCATTTTCCTTCACACGTTTCAGGAAGCTACTCGGCTCTTAGCTTAATACGCTCAATACGTACTTTCATTCTCTTGGCAAGAATCTTGCCCTTACCTTGCTCGTCCACAATAATGCCCACTGCATGCTGGGTGACACTGTAGACTCTTCCAGTGTTGCCACGGTAACATTTGTTGGCATTCCTTTTTGAACAGTGCCCATTCCCTTGATGTCCACAATATCACCTTTCTTGTAGATTCGCATGTATGTGGCCAAAGGAACAACTCCATGTTTTCTAAAAGGCCTAGAGAACATATAGCGGGTGCCTCTCCTCTTTCCCTTTGTGTTAGTCATTTTGGCGAATTACTGGAAGATGGCAGTTCCAGCCGAAAGCGAGAAAACTAATTCTTAAGTATCATCTATGCTGGAATAATTTTCTCTTAGTATATAGTGCCCAGAATTTTGAGTTGTCATTCTTTGGGCATTGTTCATACTTAAGTAGGTTGCTTTTGATGAAACTTTTTCATCTGATGGTCTTTTTTAAATATGTTTTTAATGATTTCAGAGAGGAAGAAGAGGGAGAGAGAGAAACATCAGTGATGAGAGAGAATCATCGATTGGCTGCCTCGTGCAGCCCCCCCCCCCCCCCAACTGGGGATCGAGCCCACAACCTGGGCCCTGATGGTCTTTTGAAAGTTAATATTGGACAGCTAATACCAGGACTTCCCACATTTAGGAAAACTACTTAGAGTGGGGGGTCCCATTTTATTGTCAATGGATTAAATAATCAAATAGGACCTACCAAAGAAATGGTTTCCTCAAGCCCAGTTGTTTGTGTGCATTAAATATGAGTCATACTGTGGTGATATGGTATGTATGTATAGATAACATTTTGATCCTCAAAACGTCCTGGAATGGTAGGAGGGGAGGGTGTTATCATCCCCACATAACAAAGGAGGACAGTGGTGCTCAGAAACCTGTTCCTTTAGTTGCTGACCGAGTGCTTCTCTACTTTTTGTTCACTGTGTCAGATAATACTTAAAGTGGACTTTATGTGTAGAAAAAGCAATTGATATCATTTCCTGGAAGAAATGATATCAATTTCCACCGGCTGGCAGAAATTATATCAGTTTCCACAGGCTGGCAGACACTGTAGTAATGACTTGATTAATGAACTCTTGAGGAACAAAGCTCCATGAATGAAGTTGGCCCAGGTATATACTGGGAGTGAGAGGAGGCCCAAGCCAAGGCAAAGCTGTGGGAATCTCCCCATGAGGCACTGCAGATGATAAGCCTCCTATTGCAGAAGGGATGACTGGGGGGGAAGGGAGAAAGGGTGGAATGAATCCTGGAATGCATCCTCATACTTTATGGTTTCCATATTTATTACATAAAGTGTGTCCTCCTCCCCCATTTTTTGCTCCCCCTCTTTAATAACAGTTTCTCTGTTTTGTGTTGATCACTACCCACCATTAGGTTACAATTTTGTTGAAGATATAAGCTGTGTCTGAGCCCTTATCCATAGCTGGACTATACTGTTAAACACCCTTTGGATATCTATCAATGAGATTATTGTTCTTTCTGAAGCACCATAATTATGTTTGCTGTTGACAATTTGTTGATGTTAATATCTTTCTGACCAGAAGAATATTAATGGAAATGCTTAGTAATTATTTTATGTTTCATGTATCTAGTTTTTTACCCTGTGTTCTTAGTCCTCTTATATGAAGCTCCTTCTAAACTTGTTTTCCTCCTGACCTCACTCTCCACTTATAATACATCTTCTCATGTTTTACATTCCATTCTTTTTTCTCTAACCATCCACCTCTCCCATTCATCAGATAACCAGGAGAAATGTGGTCATAAGTAGAGAGAGGATTCAGATCTTTAAAACAGCTCTTGGCTAGACTACTGCTTGCACAAAGCCACTGCTAAACACAGCAGCTTTTTTAGTTGGTTACTATAGAGACAAATGGCATTAAATGGAGATATGCTTGACGGAAGTTAGGCAAGTAAGCTTTGTGAGATTGGATGCCTTATATGCAGGATTGTCTAAAAAAGGTCAAAACCAGAAAGGATAGGAAGGAGAAAGGTTTCACAAATGAGCTGATAGGTAATTAATTGATGGATTTAGGTTGGTAGTTTTGTGCCTGCTAAAGTCTTGAATCCAGCATAAAAGAATCTACCTCCAAGTACCTCTATTATGACTACATAGTGACTTTTTTTTTTAATAACAGCTATGCTACCATGAATTTCTGTGTTCAAATTTCTGTTGGAGGCGCATATGTTTTCATTTTTCTGGGTCTTGAGAGTGGAATTGCTGGATCCATATGGTAACTCCTTATGAGGAACTACCAGGCTGTTTTCCAAAGTGGCTGCA